AAACAAGTTTAATTATTATTTTGTAAAACAACTAACAAATATCTGAACAGTCCTCAGTTGAGATAATTAGCTCTGTTTTACATATTTCTGACAGTCAATGGTACATCTTTTTTATTTTTGGAACCTATAATTAAGTAAATAGATATACAGATAAAACAGTCATTTCTCTATCTACATGCCACTCCGGTTGCTCAGCGGCAAGTCTCTGGGCTTATAACACGAAAAATCAAGTATAGATACTCACTTTGGGACAGCACAGATGGCCCATTTTGTAGCTCTGCACTTAATAACAAACAAGCAGACATTGTCTACATATATAAACAAATAGAAAGCTCAGTCTTCGATTGGAATAAGTAAAATTGTTTTTATATCTCACAAGTGCAAGAATAATCTAATCTTTTGATGACCTAGTTTCGAACCATAAGAGCTACCCAGTCTTTGTACATTTACAAGTTCAAATACCAGTCCGAGCTTTCTATAGGGTCTATTTATAGAATAACCCTACCCCCTCTCTCTTCATTTGGGTGAGTAGCTGTACAAGAGGGCAAGAAACGGATACGATATTAGTTTGTACGTATGAACTCTTACTTAGGTGTCGTTCTGACTTTACGTTTTATTAACTTTAAGATGGCGTAAAGTTAACGTGCTATTTTTACTAAAAAATTTAGTGTTATCATCAAGTATTTAGACAGAACATAGTAAGACAAGGAAGAATAATATAACTGATTTTTTTTTCATTTGTATCATTTACTATTTTAGCGAAAGGATCGCTTTCACGTTCTAAAAATATTAGTTTTTGTTTGTACTGGAAGTAGAAAATTGATAATGATACTAGTAATTTACTATAGTGTGATTTGTTGATGTTTCAGGTATATTTTTTCGCAACCTCTAGAGCCAATATAGATATACTATATCATACTGGGAAAAGTAAAGAAGTTGTGGTTTCCGGTGAGTTCAGTCTATCAATGACTTTTAAACTTGCAGAATTTAAGAGAGTATTTTATATGAAACTTACAAAAAACAGTATCTAATTCTAAAATCTAAGAGCAAGACTAAGTATAAATTTCAGTTTTTAAGATAGCTTGAATTTTGATCAGAGTGTGAAAGAATAAGAAAATAAAGTGTTAATACATATTAACCAAAAATAAGTTTCACTTGCACTTACAACTTTCAGTCTTCTTTTCCCAACGCTAAGGAATTAATATCATAATTTTTTACTGCTTTCTACAACAGAGACGAACTAAATTACTGTTATGACTTTACTATTACTATTAGTGGTTTGTCAAGCATTATGGTAATAATTGAAATTACAATTTTTGGACAAAAATATTTTATTTCAAATTAAAGAACAAGAACCCTATTTGTAATATATGAAACTTTAAATATAAGTAGGTCAGACACTATTACATTGAAGGTTTTAAAACATAATCATTCTCTTTATTTTTCTTAAATACAAAACAAAAGCACAACAATATATTTTAGAAACATAGTAGAAGTTTCAGATACACAATTATAATTTCTCAGTTTTTCTATTTTTAAAATTAAATAAATGGTCTCATAAAGTTGAGAAGTGTAAAACAACATTTGAACAAAACAACTTGTACAAGGACCATTTCAGCCTTCTTGGCTGTTCCTGCACAACCACCTTTGAGAGAAAAAAAATAACTTAAACCTAACTTTTATTTTTTAAAGAAATTTCAATTTCCCTTTTAATTTCTATTAAAGTGCTGGCTTTTACTTCTTCCATTGACAACTCATTCAGTTAAAAAAGTAAGTTTGATTTAACTGGAACCTAGTCTCTCTATTTCCAAATTTTGAACTTGTATGCTCTCATTCTTTTGTCTTCAGAATACAGCACAAAGAAATCAGAGGCCTTTTTCTTATTAATCTGCCAGATAATCTTGTGAACTTCAGTAAAATCGCCTTCTAGGTTAAGATATCTTAACCTGACATATAGGGTAACGATATTATTATAGTAATTTTTCTCTGTATCCTTTCCAGTATGTCAATATCCTTTATTAGAAAATTAGACCTAAACTGTACACAGTATTCCAGTTGATGTCTGTCTAACTAGCAGTTTGTATAAAGAAATAATTATCGCTTTTTTTCTTTTTACTTGTAATCCATGTCTATAAGTAAATCTTAAAAAGTTTTGTTAGCTTTGTTACTTGTAACAGAGCACTGCCCCAATCATTTTGGAGTGACTCATTCACCAATATGCCAAAATCTTTTTCTTCAGTCATACCTTTGAATGGGTTTTTCATATATATTAAATGAAGTGCCAATTAAGATAACCTAAACACATTATCTTGCATTTACTATCATCAAAGGCCTTTTGCAAAATATTTGTACAACTTGCCAATTGATCAGAATCGTTACATAAACATCCTCAATATAGCTAGAAATATCCATGATTTTAATCCACAAACTTTACTAATGATCAATGTCATTAATATAAATAAGAAAAATCAAAGGCCAAAACACTGACTTCAGAGACACACCTCAAATAATAAGTCCAATTTGATTGAACTCAATAACAACCTAATGCTTTCTACCATCCAACCACGTTTAAACAACTAGTCTTTAACTAGTTTTGCCTTCTCTCAACCGTTCACCCTACAATCCAATTTATTAGTCTATCTGAATCCCTCACTGATGCAATTTCCTTAGCTAACCTTTTGTGTGGCACATTATCAAAGTCTACATCCTTTCTATCATCCAAATGAAACTAATGTCTTCAATATAACAGATTAGTAAGCGAAAATTTCCCATTATTGCATCCATGTTGATTTTTTTTTATGATGTTATATTCCATAAGATGATTTGTGCAAAGCTTCTTTTATCCAACTGGAAATTTTGCTACTACAGAAGTAAAACTAACTAGTATACAATTTCCATGGCATCTCTGACAGGTTTTAACTAAATATCATATAGTGAAATGTTGAGACAAATGAATATGACTTCTCCAAGCATTTTTAGAAAATATAAAAAAGTTACTCTTTAATGTAACCAACTGATGAAACAATGCATTCTAATCTTTGTAAGTAAGAACATAAGAAAAGTATCTTAACTATATAAAAGCCAGTGTGTCATGTCATACTTGATTTCTTGAAGTAAGAGGAGTCATAAAAGCCAAAATTGTATTTATCCAGATAGAATAGTTTGATTACTGTTTGCCATTATGATTTTAGTGACAGGGGTGAAAGGGAGCCCACGAGGGTGTGTGTGCCATGAAGTGTAGTGAGTGTTGATATAATAAGCCTAAAGTAAAGATGTAGTGTGCGATCACCTGGCCTGGAGCCAAGTGCATAAAATTTTATCATGAAAGTAAAACTATCAATTCAATTTTAAACTTAAATTGTTTCTGAAATAAGCTATTTACTGTTATATCACCAATATTTTTAATAAAAAAATAAACCTCTTTAATCAACTGATACTATAAGTTAAGAAATCAACAAATATTTTTCCAGTTTTGTTGTCTATACATTCAATTTTAGTACATAGATTAACAGCAATATTAGATCATTATACTTTTGTGGCTAAACAACATGTCATAAAAGCCATTGCTGGAACATAGTGTTACCAAAACACACTGGCTTTTCTATATATTAGAAGTTGTTAATGTAACTGAGTTTTGCTAATAATTATTCTATAAATACACCACAAATTCATTTCATGAATGAACTTAATTTTGATTGGCTCACAAAGGAATTTATCAGTGTTTGACTGTACTTTTCTGCATCTTTGTTAGTCAAGCTTGATTTTGCAAAATTCATTTATTTCAATTAGCTATGAAATGTGAGGTTAGGGTATACTGTGTGATGGGGGTGGTAGTACTTGCTCCATCATATTTAACAGGTTATACGCTAGTATTCAATAAACTACACTCATTACCAGGTTTATTTTTTGCTTCCCTCAAGTAGGTAGCTTGCTCTGATCTGAAGTTAATATTAATAAACTTTCATGTCAAGATCATTCAATGCAACAAGGTGCTATATATGAAACTTAAAAATGTATCTACAAATCAAATATAAGTTGTAGATAAAGTTTTAAAACAGACCCTTGAGGAACTACACCAGTTCATTTCTCACAAGCTGTGGGTAAGCTCAGTTGTATATATATATATATTAATTTTTTTTTCTTTCAGATTTTAGTGTTTTTGTCATATAAAACAAACAGAATGTTTCTTAATACTCCAACACCTGTTCAAAAAATTTGTGCAGAACAACCTGCTCATTCCATGGTCCTGAACACAGAAAAATTTAAGCATCTGGGAGAAGAGGTATGAGAAAAACTTCTTTATTTTTAAAAATAAACACAAATTATATTTCTTGTTAGGTAATCCTGTATTAATACTACAATGTAGTTAACCATATCTGGGCCAGTGAGTGCCTTTCAGGTTTCAATTGCACACCTTCGTATCAAATTTCAAAGCTTAAGTAAAGATAATAATTCTTACTCTATGTTAAGTTTTTACTGAAAAAATCTGTTAAAATTGATATTTTGTAGCCTTCGTTTATTGTGGTTTGTAGAGAAAGGTGAAAAAAAAGTTCTAATTTACATTTATGCACAGCTGTTAGGAATCTTACCTGTAAACAATGCACTTACAGATATTGTTTTATAATTTTTATGCCCATCCCAAAGCAAAGGCTTATATTTTTTAAAAGCTATCATCCTGTGTCTTGTGTGATTTTCCTTTTCTTTCTCTAATTTTATTAGTACAGTCTCTTTTTCCATCTTTCATGACCTCGCAGCTTGTGAATGACCACTAATGAAACATGGCTTTGAAAATAGCTGGAAGCAATGTTTAAATACCATTGAAAACAGGATGATCAGATGTTTCAGTTTGGTTGGGATAGTCCCTTTTTTGTTTTTGTTTTTTTTTGTAGTTTCTCCCAATATCCTGAGAAAAGTTCTCAGGATGTACAAAATGTCCAGTTTTATGATAAAGACGTCAAACTGCCAGTCACTTCCAATCCGGAATGTAATAGGCCTACTTGACTTGTACAGTACTGTACACTCTACTGCTATCAACCTCTCTCGAAAGTGATGTTTGTGCATGCAGAGAAACCTGGGTCTACACAGGTTTTTTAGTTAGTAGACTTGCAGCAGTTGGTGAATGTGTGGTGAGAGGTTAAACATCAGGGATTGTTCTCTAAGATATTTTTATTATTGGAAACGTTTAACTATCATAGTTTAAAATTGCTGATAGGAAAGTGTTTTTTCAGATACTTTGAAAGAATACTTCCTTTTTTATAGGCAGCTGAGTTCGACAACAAAGTTGAATGCACTATTTGCAAAGCTGTGTTTTCAATAGTACACAGTGACAGATAGACATTATGGATCACACAGCCAAGAAAATTTGCAAGGACTATTTTGAAATTCAGGGCAAGGGCTAGGCTGTCCCAGTTTTTTGGTTTGGAATCTGGTCTCCCTAATTGGATAGAGCAGATTATACATTGTTTACATCAATGTCAAGTCAATAAAATGGTCTGAGAAGTAATTTGTGATTTCATGGGAAATGATTAGACCTAGCTGTTGTGGGGAAGAATGGTGTAATTTAGTGGGAAGTTTAGAAGACTTAGGAACAAATCACAGATCTGTGAATGTTTTTCATACTTTATTCAGATGTTATTTTCATTCCTGAAATGTTTTGGTATGGAATTATATTTGTTTGAAGCTATGAAAATATTCTATTACAAGATATCAATTAAGCCTAATCAGGTTTAGAGACCACTTTAGGTGACAGCAAAATATTCTGATGACTCAAATGGGATTCAAATCCTTATTTCTTAAATATCAGTGTTAAGTTTGTCATAATGCAATAATATATATAAATAAAAAAATGTGTTATTTTATGGATTTATGTAATAACTTCTACCAGAAGAGCTGCAAAAATTATACAATAATGAATGCAATTGATACTAAATAGTCTTAATTATGAATAACAGCAAACTACATAAAGTTTTTACCACTCTGTCTTAGGTAATTAGTTTAATACCCTCGTTGCTAGTTTTTTTAGTTTTTAAACCCAAGAACGCTTGATGAGGCTGATCCTGCTCAGGGAAATAACCAAGCCCAAAGCAGCATTTTCATATTTAAACTTTATAAACATGTCAATCACATTTGGCTAATGTAGTTATTACTATCTAAGAAATTTAATTTACTACATTAATCTAGCTGAAATTATAAATAATGAAAATATTTATTGAATTATTTACATTTAAACTGTAAGTTACTATAAATTAGTGAAACACCTACAATTTCCACCTACGTGTATTTGGTATAGTGCTACCATATGTAGTTCAGAGTGACACTTGTATAGAAATTCAGGTAGAGATGTATTCATTCAACATGTCATCCTTTCTACCTGAGGTACTTTTATAGATTAGTCTTCCAAACCTTTCTTTAAGTGTCACTGTGAACTAGGATGTTGCTGCCCATTTCACCTTTATATGTTCAATTTATTACTTTTTGAAAAGAAACTATAATTATTAAATATAAGTTGATTTCTACCAATAGTAATATTAGCAAAAATACTGTTGCCTAGCTTGTCCTGATGTACACTGTTACAAGTCATAGGTCACTGATAAATCCTTGCCAATTTTTACTTTAATTATTATGATTTATAGCCATAAATAGGGCCTAATGCAAATAGCAAAATAAAGTTTCTAAATAAATATGTAATTAACCACGTTTAAACTTATCAAACTTGATAAAATTTAAATTCTAAGATGAATGGAAGTGTTTTTCTTTTTTTTTTTTCAAAGACAGTGTCTCAATAAAATTTTGGAAATTTTGCAATGTAAATAAAATTGTAATAGAAGTAAATAAAATGATAGGAACTTTTTAAAGCCAAAACTAGATACCGTATAGTAAGTTATTACTAAGATTCGTGCAATTTGATTAAGTATTTGCACTGTGAGAAGCAACAATAAAAATCAGTGGGTGGCAATGCCCCCTCATAAGTTCAGAAAGAGTTAAATGACTTATTCAGAATTGCATATAAAATTTAGTGTAGTAATAATAAAAGCTAACTTTTATAAGAATATACTTTACTTTAGAAGGTCTTAAATACTGAGTTGTTCTAAAGATGGGGCATAGATCAATGAACTTTCAACTACTTTAATAGTAAAGAGCACCAGTGAAAGAACAGAATGTTTATAAGTTATTGAACCACTATATTAATTGAATATAGTAAAAACAACATAAAATAAACAGTTATGGTTTGTGGTATAATAGAAGCTAATGTCTTGGGTTTGTCTGTGGCCAGTGATGCTGTTAGTACACCTCAACATAGGTACTGTTCGTGGCTTGAAAGCTGTTCAGATATTGGTCGATCTGTGGCCAGTGATGCTGTTAGTACACCTCAACATAGGTACTGTTCGTGGCTTGAAAGCTGTTCAGATATTGGTCGATCTATGTCCGTGTATGTATCAGCATCTCTGGAGTAATCATTGCAGTTGTGTTGGTTATTCAGGCACACAACATTATTATATTCAGTATCTTCTTTTTTATAGAGAATGTCCTTTATGTACCCCCATGTAAACTAGTAGGAAAACTCAAAGATCAGTCTCCCACATGCCACAAACTGTGACTATTTATTTGGTGTGGTTACTGTTCTATTTAATTAAGAAAGTGGTCCAGTAATTTCTGAATACCCTGTGTTGTTTAGTGAAAGTGAAGCAGCTGTTAAAAGTTTGGTCCAGAAATTCAAATACAGAAATGGTTATTAGTACTAAAAGCTAATTTTGAGAATAATAAATTATTTTTCTTACATTTTTCTTTCTAAAATAGTTTAAACAGAATTATCAATATTGTCAACAAGTTGTATGATGGTATAAGAAATGTATAACAATTATATATATATGTTCCTTAATATTTTTGTACAGGAAGTTGCTAAAGGAAAATGGCTTAAGTTGTCAAAGTATATGTACCAAGACCAAACTGGTGCAAAACGGTAACAATATTATTTTCTTTTTTCCTCCATTTACAATACATGTTTATTTGTGTATCAAAGCAAACTTGGCTAGTAAAGTTAGTGTGGTCAAAAGACTTTTAGTTCTGTAGATGTTCAGTATCATCAGCCATATGTTATTTAGCCATTATTTTTCTCATCTTCTCTATATAAGACTATTTCTTTATCACATGTTAATAGAGAACTGTTTAGTAGTATTTTAAAATGACATTGTCTTTATAAATCTTTTATCTAAATTTCTGATAGTTGCTATAACCATGATTCTTATGATTCACCGTGTATCATAGTGGGATTTTGGTCAGCTTAATAGGTTGAGGAGCTGACCTAATTACCTTCTGCCACCTTAACATTTTTGTATTTTTATACTCTTATTCACAAACTATCTTAAATATGTACAAATATATTGTAGGTAATTTTCTCTGGAGCTGTAAAAAATGTTTTTTTTTTCTTTTGTAGTTTAGCTTTTATTGTGTTATTGATATGTTGTTTAAGTTTCTGAACCAGTTGCAATAAGAACCATTATTTAAGAAATAGTTGATTAGCTATATACATTGATTGTGGTGAGTAAAAATGGTTACCAGTTGGAAAGTGGTTTAATTCAGCACATGTAGAAACCAGTGACTTTTTTGTCAAAACATTTTATCCCATATTCATTAATATCGATGTTTTGCTTGATCATTAACACCTATTCTAAACTTTGTAAAACAATGACTCATTTTCCTGGTACAGTCATAATGAAATCCTTTCAAATAACACCATTGTTGTCCAGTGTAAAAGTTATTAGCTTGGCTGTTTTAAGCTCAACTAAAAACATCTTTATTTTAAGGCAAACCATATCAGGTATAACATTTGAAAATGTTTTGATTGTGAGAGGGTAAAAATCCACAATTATTTGTTTGAGAATGTTTATGTTATGTACTAGCCCCCCTTTTTTTTATGTACCTGCAGTGCATCTGTGTTTTAACAATAACAGGTTTAGAATTTTCTAGTCCTGGTAAGTATTTTTTTAAATTACCTCAACTTGACTGAGAAATTGAATTATGCAATTTTGAACCGACTTAATTCCTTTGTTGCTGGTTTCAGTGAATGCAACAGATTTGAGAGGTCTTGCATTGTTTGTTGTTCTTATAACCATTACTTCAGTGACTACACCCCTTTCACGTAGAAACAAAATTCATCAAAAGCTGTTAATAGAAAAAAAAAACCAATGCATAAAAATTGGAGAAGTTTGTTAGGTGTTCAAAAATATTTCCACCAAGAGGTGTTCTAATGATAATATTGTTTATGATTCAAAGGCATCATCTCATGAATGTTGACTGAAAAGATTTTGAAAATCATTGAGATGAAAATGCAGTAGTTCAGTTTTAGTCATCTATTTTTATTTTTTAGTAAAACTAAGATTGTAATAACTTAAGTTTCATTGTGCCAAGCTCGGATAAAAATCTAGTTGTTAGGTAAGCATAGAAATTTCTGAAAATTCTTTTTAAAGCTCACATAACAATATTACACAGGGAAAAGTAAACTCGTGAAAAGATGTACTATTGGCATCATACAGGAGGGATGATTTTAATATTTCAAACCAATGAAAGAAAAGGTCATTTATAGTGCAAAGAACTAATTATGAAATTTAGTTTATGATAGTGATATAGCATTTAATTTAACTTTTAGGCAAATTATCTGATCTCTGGTGGTTTAGTATTTTGATTACATAAAATGAGAAGCCAGTGAACAAAAGTAGTGTAGAATCTTGAAAATTTCTAAATGGGATTCTAATTCTATTCAATGGTACCAAAAAGCATTGTAGTAAATTAAAAATATGCATAATATTGGCAATAATTTATAGTCATTGTGTTGCTTCTTTTACCATTTTATTTGGGAAAACAAATCCAGTAATATCCTAATTGTTTAAGTATCAAAAGATAACTTGAAGACTACTCCATTTTTAAATCCTTAAAAAAAGTAATGCTAGTTCTTTGAATGTTACATACACTCTTTGATTTTTCTGTTAAAATTTCTTCAAATAAATGAATATCCACTGAATCATTGTTTTTTATAATGATGTATAATTTTCATGTTGCCCTGTAAAATCATAACCTTTTATAGTCTACATTTCAATGTGTTCAGTGTCTTCTACTAATAGTGAGTGTGTTTTTAGCTTGTAATGGCTGGTTAGTCTGTGATGGTTGTTTGTGGTTGGATAGTTTATGTTGACTGGTTAGTTTGTATTAGTTGGTTGATTCTTGATGGTTGTTGTTGGCTGGTTAGTCCTTGATGATTGTTTTTTGGTGGCTGCAAGATCCTAATAGTTTTTTGTGACTGATTAGTTCATTGATGGTTAATGTGGCTGGTTACAATGATTAATCTATTGTAGCTGGTTAAGTCTGTGATACTTACTGATGGCTGGTTAGTTCATAATAGTTGTTGGTTAATTCTTGATAGTTGTTGTTGGCGAGTGGTTAGTCTGTGTTGTTTTTTGGTTGGTGCTAGCTTCCTTTAGTTGTTGTAGGATGGTTTGTCTATTGATTGTTGTTGTGGCTGGTGAGTCCCTGATAATTGTGGGTGGCTCATTACTGTATTGTTACTTTTTGGTTAAATGTGTGATGGTTGTTGGTTGCTTGTTAGTTCCTGATAGTTTATTCATTATTCATTGTTCTTGGTGGTTAATTAGTCTGTGTTGTTTGTTGGTGGCTGCTAGATTCTTATAGTTTACAGTTAGTGGTTAGTTTATTCATGCTTCTTGTGGCTGATTAATTTGGGTTGTTTATTGGTGGCTGTTGGTTTTGATACTTGTTGGTGGCTTGTTAGTTCTTGATAATTGTTCGTTAATTCCTTTTCTCCATTGGTTGCTGTTGGTTCTGGTTATTGTTGGTTAACTTCTGATGTTTTTGATAAGTTAATTAGTTCCTGAGAGTGCCAAAAAACAAGAAGTGTGGAGGTGGATTAAGAAACACTGGATGCAAAGTGTTATACATACTCCTAAAAATAATTTCTTCTGTTACAGAGAATGGGAAGTGGTTGGAAGGTGTACAAAGAATTCAGAAAAACCAGATTGTAAGTATATATAATAGACCAGCAATATGTGCAATCTTGCTACTATGCATATTGAAAGTACTAGCATTCTAATATATTTTCTAGGGATAGGACAAATAGTAGTTTTGGTCAGATATTAGATTTTGGATATGTGGCATATGATTTCCAATTCACCTAGGATATTTTCAAATCGGATAGAGGATATAACCATACATATTAAAAATGTGCCACATACATGAGCAACCACTTCATTACGAGTTTACTTTGCCATTGTTTTTTTGAAAACTTGTTAAGGATGTACAGTTCCACATGAGTGAGTAGCCTTTGCAGACCCTTTAAAAGGGAATGTGGCACATAGTTGTGTGAGACAGTGTTTAACACCACCTATTATCCCCCATTGTGACTGTTGTTTGGATAGTACTTGCTATTGCTGCCACTACTTGTGGTGTACAGTGGTAGTACAAAAGGGAGGTATGATGATTATTTAAATTACATTCTAACTATCTGTATTGCAACTGTTATGACTACCAGGATGCTCACTCTTTAATACCTGGGAAAATGCTATTATGTTTAGAAGCTAGTAGAAAGCATGAGTAGAATAGATGTAATATTTATTATGTGTGATGCATGTTGAAGTAGTATCATGCTTGTGTAATATTGTGGGGAAGTCTGATCTTCAGAAAATTAATATATAACTGGATCAGATTTCATCAAATGGTGCAATATTTGATCAGATAAAATATTTCTCCTATCCCTAATATTTTCTAAATAATGGTGCTTTTATAGAATAGCATTTTGTACCGTGCTTTGGTTAAGATGACTTGTGTATCTTATACAAAAAGGACTTTGAAAGTTTAAGCAGTATATTGAAAATGAGTTTTTTATTTAGAAGTTTAGTGTTGTGCATGTGGGTGTGGAAAGCTGGATTTTATTTTTTGTAGAGAGGAATGTTGATTATGTAGAATATGAGAAAGACATAGTTGTGCTTTTTTTGATCAAAACCATAAATCTTGTATTAATGTATAGCTGTGGTGATAAAACCAAATCAAGTTCTTTATTTTTTCTAAAGCTAGTTTGAATTAACAACAAGAAAGTTATTGTTGTCTGGTCTTGTATAAAAATAGGAAAGCATCATTTTGAGTACTTTGGGAAGTTTTAGTCCCTATCATTACAGAAAGAATAACATGTTGGAAAAGTTGAAAGTCAAGCTTCTAGAATCAAACCTGATTTAAGAAATGTAAGGGACAAGGAAAAGTTTAATGTGTAGAGTTGTTTTCTGGATTTTAAAAGTATTAGGTGACTTGATTCAGAAGTTTAAACAGTCATCAATGTTCCTGTTAACTGCTTACTATGTTGCCACAAGCAAAATTTGTTTCTGTTTGGCAAAAGTATTGAAAAATATACAAGTTGAAGACTATTAGAGCTGGGCAGTTAACTTGATTAATCAATTATCTATAAGTATCAGTTAGTAATGTAAAATAATCAGAGTCAGAACCATGATTAAATTTGTTAATATCATGAAATAATTAACTAACCAAAATTAATGTTTCTGATTGTACCGCTTTCAATTATTCTGAATATCCAAGTAACCCAAATATTGTCATGATGATTTCTTGTTATTGTTTTTAATTCGGGGTTGTTTAACTTTATTGATTAGTGTTTTAATTTATGAAAATAATCAATAATTAGATTTAGTATTTTTGGTTATTCCAACTTTCCAGCCTCGTGAGAATAATGATTAATTAATAATCAGTTAATGAGTTTGACTGTGAATTGAGTATTAAATTCCATTAACTGCTCAGCTGTAAAGACTGCCAGCATGATTAGTTGAACATATGCCACTAGAATGCATTTATTTGACAATTGGCATGAATGGCACTGCTAAATATGTCAAAAGATGTGCAACATTTTATGACAATTTACAGTCATTGAACATGTGAAAAACTATGGTAGTTAAACCACTTGTCAGAAGAAACAAGCTATTAGAATAAACTTTCTAATGTACATATCTTTTGTGATGAAGTATAAAGAGGCAAATGTTTGACAATAACATAATTTAAATTTTTGAATCCACACGTTGAATATCTTCTACAAACAGCATTGGACATCACCATCTTTACGCACTGGTTAAACTACCTCTGAATAAAAACCAATTCCTGCACACACTAAGTGTCGGCTAAGTGATTTCTGAACACTCAAATGAAACATACCGAGAATTTCAATACTAAACCACATTTAACTTAGTTACACCAATGTTACAAAAAGATCACATGTAGATTATTCATTCCTATTTATTATATTATGTACAATAAAATGATTTTATGATTTTCTTTAAAAACCAGTGTCAGAGGGTAATACAGAAAATTAATTTGGGTGGTAGCAATTGAGCGAGAATGAAGCAAGTTTCTGTGTAGGAGAAACTTGTCAAGAATTAGAGCTAAGGATTGTGGGAGGTGATCGAAGCGAAAAAACTAATAGATACTTTGACATGATATAGAGAAAAAATCTAAGTAAAGTTTTCATTTGTTTTGTTTTTATTATGATCATTTCTTATTTCTCGCCTAACTTTTTTCATAAAATTTTTTTTTTTAATTTGGGCACATAACTTTTGCACCTAAAAGCAGTAACTGCTCCCATATTTAACCTGTATTACTCTCTAAATGTAAAATGTTTAAACCCAGATGATGACATACTCTTTCACCAACTTAATTTTTAGAGTTAAAACTTTTGGAATGGTTTATCTGTATATGTGGTGTGTGCTAGTATCATGATGAATGTAAGCTTACTAATATCAAGATGAGAGTAAGCATGCCTATGTCAAGAAGAGAGTAAGCTTGTTAATATCAAGATGAGAGTAAACATGCCAGTGTCAAGATGAGAGCTGAATGGTCAATATCAGAAAAAGCTTCCAAAATGTTAAATATCAGAGTAAACAATTCAAGTTATTAATGTGAGAGTAAAAATACTGAATGATCAAGGTTATAGTTGTGGTCAAGGTCATGCAAGTGGTAAGATGTCCAAAATAGCCTGCTCATGTGGTGGTGTTTATGTTTCAGGTGTTAGCACTATTGCCCTACTTCATCGTCTTCTTAAATACGACTGTATGATACTTGTAAAACAGTATAGACCTCCTCTGAAAGCTTTTACTTTAGAATTGCCTGCAGGTAAGGGAAACTTTATAAGTTTGTAGTATTTCAACCAATATTTATGTTTTGAATTACTTCACAGTGTTTTAAGGTTTGTCTTTAAAAGCATTAAATTAAACTGATTCATTTGATTTCTGGCAAACTTGGTCACTGATGGGAAGTTATTAAATCTGTCACTGCCCAGGGAACATCTATGAGAAACACTATATAATCTTTATTTTACCTTAAAAAGAGTGATACTAAATAAATTTTCTGAAAACAGGTATATATATAATGAAATCAATATTTGTATAACTACTTAAAAAATCATGTCATATATTAATTTTTTCATGTGTTGGAAATACATGAACAAAAATATCTTAATAAATGTCATGTTGATGTGACAAGTAATAAAGTAAAATGTAAGTAATTGTACAGCACCCATGTGTTTCTTTATATATCTACATATATAAAAGCCACTCTCTGTTCATAATGCTCCCTTTGCCAGTAATGCTTGACTCTCTGTTGGTAATGTTCAAATTGGATCAGCAGTTTATCACAAGCAGAAGTCGTGAGTTCAAATATCAGTTGAGTGGGGATTTTTTTATAACTTTTTGTTATTATTACATTTATTTTTTATATATTTATTATCATATTTACAAGAATCTCTTTGAATATTATGAAAAAGAAGAATACAATTATAGAATAAATAAGGGATAATATATTACATGATAAACACAAGTGATTCTATGTGTCAAAAACAATTTAAATATCTTTTCAACACAACAGATGATGCTACAATACATTGTTATTGACGTTTGTCACCTTTGTTAAGAAATCTTTAAAACTTTAGCTCAAAAATTTATAATCTTTTTTAATGAAAGTTTATACCCTTGTGAATTTGCCCATTTGACATAAAATTCATTGTCTTTGCCTTCAAAAGTAATAAATTGCAGGGTCATACTTGAAAACGTGGGAATATTTCTTTGAGAACAAATTTTTTGTTGTGGTTCAATCTATAAGGCTTTATCAAGAAGAACATTTGAACGTAACATAAACCAGTCAACCAAATGACCAAATATTAAAAAAAAATTTGTTTTCATGAAATAATAGAAAAAGGATAGACATTATCCACACATATATTGTTACTACAGTATAATTAATTTTTATTAAAGATGTTCATAAAACATTTATTTAGGTTCACTTTTCAGAAGAAAAATTAATAAGTATTTACTGTCATATGATTGGAATTCAGCTAGTCTATAAACATGGCAGTAAAAAAGTTAATAAAGCCTTGTTCCATCATAAAGGCCAAGAATAGAAAGTGCTTCTTCAAATCACAATTTTATGTTTTTTAATTTTAGAAAAACATTGGCTCTTACATTCTTGGTAGTTTTAAATCAATGTAAAAAAGTTCAAATTTGTATGAAATTGATTGAAGAGTCAGGTATTGGCCAGTGCAAAACTACCAAAGATGGGCCCTCCTGCATAAAAAGTAATTAAGCCTCCTACATTTAATTCCCTTGTCAGCAATTCTTAAGTTTGTCAGGTCCAGCATTTGTGGGGGCATACTTATGCCACTGGTATTGGGCACACACAGTTTGCCATTTTATTTATATGCATGAAATCAGTTTAATATACTTATTTTTAAAGATGCATTTGGCTAATCTTAACTTAAAATATTTAGTCCAGTTGTTTAAACAAAAGTTTGATGGGAGAAACTATTAGGTCATCAAGAAATTAATGTCGCTTTTTTTTGGAGATGAATAAACCCGAACAACTTATATATCAAAACAAAACATGTCGATATTCTCTTTAACACCTTCCACATTTGCATACATTTTTGCATTAAAATGGTGTTGCAGCGAATGAAAAAGATGGTAATCGGATGGTGCCATATCTGGAGAATATGGTAGGTGGGGGAGAACTTCCCAACCCAACTCCATAATCTTGTGTTGCATCAAACATGTGGATGTGCATTGTCATGGAGAAGAACACCTTTCTGATTGACGAACGAAGGGCTTGATTTAAACATGTATATGCACTAGATCTCTGCATTGACAGTTTGCTGTGGATCGAGGAGTTTGAAATGAATTACTCCTTTGATGTCTCATCAAATGCAAAGCATCACTTTCTGTGGATGGAGTCCAAGTTTTAGGGTTGAAAGTGGTTTTTGTCAAGGACTGAGCCATTGTTTTTGGCATTTAATGTTTGTATTTGTCAATTCTGTCTAAAAATGGTTCATGCACATTACGTGCCAGAAGAGACAAAGCAACGTTCACACGTTGGAAACGATGATCATTGGAGAGTTCGTGAGGCACCCAAACACCTTCTTTAGGAGTTTTCCCATGTTCCTTAAATGTTTACGTATTGTTTCATGAGAGACATGTAATTTCAGGGCCATTTCACGAGTGCGTTGCCTTGGGTTAGGCTCAACAAGCATCTTCAGAGCATCAATATAAATTCCAACATGTTGGCCCCTGCCATCACAGTTTTTAAGGCAAAAGTCACCTGAACGAAATTTGCTGAACTGTCATTGATACTTATGAACATTCAAAACATTTCCATAAACTTCTTTGATATTCATTGTGGCTACAGATGTGTTGTTCCCTTCTTGTATTCAAATAGCATTACATGCCAAATGTGTGACTCATCGTGTGTCGTTACTATAAGGGATTAGATTATACTAAACTTTACACATTAGATAAGCTAAACTAATGTAACATTTAGGCAGTTCATTTAACTATTATAGTGATGTATGTTTTTTTGGGGGTGGTTAATGAAAGTGTTCCAATACGTGACATTAATTTCTTGACAACCTAATATATTGGTTATTTATATATTTCATTTCCACATGTGTACATAGTAAGCCTTAGATATATATATATCTATCACACTCTTACCTAAAGTTATAATTTTGTAGCCTAGTTTATTCTTTTAATTTATAACTTGAGATATTAATTAATATTTGATAAACTTCAGAATATCTTAAGCCATTTTTCCCAAATTTAATGTTGTAACTGTACATCTGAAAAGATAAAATGCACTTTGTTTTGTGCAAATGTATAAATTTTGCAAAAATACAAAGTTTTTAGAAATTCATTATTATTGTTGGTTTTTTTTGTTTAGTTTGTCAACAAGTTAGAGTTAGACTCACTTCGTTAAGAAATTGTGTAACAAAGTACATTTATCTATGTACTTCTATATTTTTAACCAATCCTTCAAACCAAGACTCCCTGGTTTATATTTTTTACTGTACAAAATTATCCAACATGTAAAGTAATTTTGATTTTAAGATTAAAAATACTTTTTGTATCAGAAAATTTTCAAATATCACATGCAAAATCTTTATAAACTCCAGATAATTTTTTTAGAAAAATGTTGTATATTTTGTATGTTATTTTCACTACTCGATCTCTGTACAGGTTGGGTCGATTTGACCAACCTCGTAACCACCATAAAAAATTAGGAAATAAATATAAGTTGTGATTTTTTCATTCTAGAATGACTACAAATTATTACACGAAAACACAAAAGCATAGTCTAAATAGCTTAAATTTCATAACATTATACATTTATATATATTTATTATTTTTATTATATTGACCTTTCAGCCATGCCTGGCTAACATTACAGAAGCTGCAATTATACCGCTCACATGCGCTTATGTTACTATATTTAAGAATATAAAACTGGCCTTACAGAGTGACTTGTCTTGTCTATGTTTTAATGGACTAGTATTTTGTAAAATGTAGTCACATTTCAGTTATAATACATTATATATGTATATACATTATTACTATTTACAAATAAGTTCTTAAACGTAGAACAGTAAATAAAGAGTATAGAAAACAATTATCTCTTCTAGTTACGAACTATGTACATGTTTGCTGCTTGCCATAGGTTGCCAAGCCTTATCAAATTTTGCACATGGAGGATGTGAAACAAAATAATTGTTTTAGGTTTTATACATACATTTTGAAATAATCAAAAATCATAAATTACTATATCAATACCATACAATTCCATTATAGTTTTTATCAAGCTTAGTAACTAAGCTGTATTTGGGTCTAAAAAATATGAAATTTCAAGCTCACTAATGTCTTACCTAACCACTTGGAATCTTACATGAAAAGAAAGAGTTTGCCACCGAAATACTTCAAAGAGACTGAGTAAGCCACTAGAGGGACATTCTGAGCTTTCAGTTAGTTATACACATGTGATTGGGCAAAGTAAGTGTAAGTAAGCTTGTATTTTCAAAAATTGAAGGGGTGGGTTGATTCATTTAATATATTAATATCTCAAAAAATAGAAAAGATAGAAGGTTCATACTTCACATTCTAGCTTGACAATATTGGTAATTTGAGTATTTAATTTGTAAGACACTATAGACTGTATTTGAACATCTAATTTAAACCAGTGTTGCATCCAACATACCATGTGACACACAAATATCGTTATTTAGGATTTCTTTTTTAATATTTACTTTAAATTAAGAAATCAAGCAATATATAATACTAAAATTTGAATTATAATCTAATTTGATACCAAACTTATTGACATACATTCATAAAATAGTAGTTCAATAAAATGTTTAATGCAAGTCAACAAACTTGATGACATGGCCTTTGTCCTGTGTTTATAGGGTTAACTAACAGTATAATCATTGGGGAAAAAAATCTTTTGTATTTTTATTTCATATTTCATTGTTATTATTAAAAGTTATACTTACATGATTTAAAATATTCAAAGTACTTGTACATTAAATTTGGTCTTTGTGAGTCAAAATGAATGTTTTTCTCTTTAACTGCAACCGTTAATAAAATACATTTAAAGTAAGCTATTTAACAATATTTAGTGAAAGTACTAATTGCTTAACTGACATTTTTAACATTATGTAAACTGACAGAATAAAAGTGTTTATAAATTACCTGTTTGTGTACATATGTTCATTATTCCAAAAACTTAAGTTTATCATACAACATGGAAACCGCATATTAAACAAGCTACAGCAGCAACTTATGACCTAGCTTAAATTAATGATAAGTATTGAACCTGCCATAGATTAAAAGCAGTGTTTAGATCAGCATACTCTTTTGCAAGTTAGATTTATCAAACCATTTTCAGTAAAAATAGGAAAAAGAAACTTGATATGAAATGTACTGGACATTGAAAGCATATGACATGAATCGAACAAAACAACATTTTTGAAGCCAAAATAAAACAGGAAAATAAGAAACCACTACCGGTAGCCATTTCTTTTTACATAGTTTGCTTATTTTACACAAAAGAGACATGCTTATTATTATTCTTTAAAATGAAAAATAGCAAATATTTTGCTTTCTCATAAATAATATGCATTTTTAGAACAGGTCTACAAAGTTTAATTCACCAGCTATGCCTACTATTAATTCTAGTCATGTGATGTTTTCCAAAAAATTTCAAAAGTTTCAGTACTCTCAATCAATAAAGAAAACCAAATATTGAGCTAGTATTATTTTTCTTAGTGGTATGAATGTAAAGAGGAAACGTTAGTGTACATACTTATGGAAAGTTTGATAGTCAAAAATTTTAAATCTGATTTAAACTAGCTTTTAGAGTAATCTGTAATTCACCAATATTTGCCATTGAGAGAAGGAATTCTAAAAAATTGCATGCTAAGTGCAGTAGCAAATGCTGGACTGAGAGTGTGCAATGCAAGCACATAGCAACCAAGACCAGCAGATCCTTACTTTATTTCTCACAAATGGTATGATGTATACTGATCCTACCACTAATGCAATTAAACAATGAATTGATTCTGTGCCTACTTAGCTGAATCAGTTACCTACTTTTTTTCTTCTTGTAAATAAATATATATATTCTTGGAAGCATGCCACATCAGTGATGAATGAGAAAAAACATTGATTGATGAAAGTAAAAAATAGCCTCCTCCCCTTTTTATGGGTGGGCATTGTTGTTCCCAGAATTAATTTTGCATACATCATCTCTGAATGAGTGTCATATAGTGTCACTACTGCTTCTGGCTCTTGCTTGAACATTGTCATCCTTAAAGGTAACAAACTTTCCAATCTCATGTAATCTACTTGATAATGAGTGTAATATTAACAATAACCCAATCTACATGTTACTTCCCTGTATGACTTGCTTCTTTTTAAAGGTCTGATTAAACAATAATGATTATAGTGTGTCTTGAGATGATGTAACTCACAAAAATTAATGAAATCTTTCCAAAAATGATTGAGCAAAGAAAAAGCAAGCCAAACTTCTGCAAAATAAATTAACTTGGCATTATTCAAATTGTATCGTTTTATTTGTGTGCTGTGAAAATGAATTTGCATCCAGTTTGGCTCCTAATTCACCTAAGTTATATTAAATAAAATGTGATTTGGTGAATTAGGAGCTAAGCTGGATGTAAGTTCAGTTTTACAGAACTTGAATTAAATGATGTGATGTGAGTAATGCCAAGTTGCTTTATTTTGCTGTTTATATAGGATATTGCCCACTGTATGAGCTAAAGAAGTTTTTTCTTTTTACTCAAGCATTTTTTGGATGGATGAAATGTTAATTTGATTTTTTTTATTTATTTGAAGCTAATACATAGTTACAATATATCTTACAAGCTAACAGGAAGAGGTTAACTGATCAGAGTTGTTATTCAAAGATTTGTCATAAAATAATATTCTTTTGAAGGTCTGATAGATTTAGAAGAAAAAGTGGAGGATACAGCTCTGAGAGAACTAAAAGAAGAAACAGGATACACTTCAGCTGTAGTGAAGCACGTGAGCTCAGGTAGGCCTTCTTTTAGTTGAAAATAAAGAAACTGGTAAATCATGTAATGTATGATACATCTTTTTTCCATCTTGAAGGTTCATCCAAATGATGTTTTGGTTGAAATTTTAAAACCAGGCCTCAAGACTGGGATCTTCTAATGGTATCTGAACTAATTTTCAGTGTATATGTTCTACTGGACCCTTATTTCACATACCAAATTTCAAGGCAATCCATTAAGAAATACACGAGTTATAAAATCTCCAATTTTGAACAAGTTTCTTCCTTTTTTTATTTTCTCTTTGCAACAGAAGTACAGAAACTTTATTTGATAGCAAAACATGTTTAACTTTTATGGATTTTTTCTAATTTGGTACACTGGTAGACCTTTATAACCTACAATTAGGTGTCAAATTTGGTCTAAATATAAGCCATGTGCAAAGTTATCAACAAAAACTGCTCTATCTTGATTAAACTTTTTGCACATGCCTTTACAAAAAGTCATGTGAGCTATTGGTCTAAAAGTTTTACAACGGCTTCACCTAAGATTAAAAGTGGACATTTTTATTTTTTTTTGTCAGTTGGATTAAAGACAGCTGATTTAGAGCAGCAAAACTATAGGGTGAAAGCATGTGCATACACATAGGTATTGGTTAGGCCAAGCAAACTAAATTGGCAGAGTCTTGCTTAAGTTTTCAAAAGAATCATTGCCAACTTTTATGAAATTATTCTTATTAAAGAGCATTTAGTGTCACGTGATATTAGCTTAAGCAATTAGTATAAATAATGATACTTGATATGGCTGGTGATGACAAGAAACTGTTAATCTGGATTCCATGGCAATACTATAAAGAAAGTTACTAACATATTTTAGAGAGGAAAAACTACCACCATATATTTTAAAGAATCTAGTTGGTTCTGTAAAGTATAGGTCTGTTCCAAATAATAGGGTTGCAACCCTAAAGCTCATGTTGGTTACTATTGATGTCACTTTCTTACTTGTTGTACTTACTTGATTAGTTATAATCTGCCAGAAGGATACTGGATCTGAGTAAGATATAATCTGTTTGAAATATACTGGATCTAAATAAGGTATAATCTGCTAAAAGATACCAGACCTAAGAAAGGTATAATCTTTTAGAAAGTTACTTGATCTTAGTAAGGTATGATCTGCTAGAAAGGTACCTGATACAAGTGAGGTATGACTTCCTAGGAAGGTACATGAGTTAAGTAAGGTCTATTAAGTTATAATCTGCTAGAAAGTTTCCTGATCTAAGCTTTACATGAATATCAAATTAAATTCTAGAATATTCAGCTCTATTAAAAGGCACCAAGAACAAGTTTATTAACAAATAAATAGATGTGTCATTTTCAAATATAATGTCTTTGTTTCTAGTTACAGCCTTAGATCCAGGACTTTCCAGTTGCACCATGAAGATTGTGACAGTGGGTGTGAGTATCTTGATTATAGGATATATAGGTTAAAATAGTTGTGAAATGTATGGAATGTTGAACAAAAGTCATAATTACTGATGATAATTATTAGATATTAGCTTTGACTTTAATAAAGTGCAGCTTTTTCTATTGGTATTTGTCATAATTGTATTTCAATATTCTGTTAGCATGGGGATTGGTGGTATGGCAGACCCTAATTGGAGAGCATTGCTCCCAGTCTGAGATATCAAGGTTTATTAGTTTTTTAAGATTTTTAAATCCCTCTTACATTGGCACTTCTACTGACATAAAACTGTTAGTTGTTTTGATGGGCAGAGCTGTCATACCATGTAACATGAACTGAAAGAAGTATCTCTAAGTAGATGAGACCTAGAGGGTGGGTTTAATGGTAGTTTGAAACAGCATCAGACTGCCACAAAGCTGAGCGAAGAGAGCTTGAATTAACTCTGGCTGTTGTGTATAAATAAAAGTAAACACTTATTATAGAACAAAAAAAATTCTTTTTTTATTTAATAGCACTTAATTCTCCCTTGTGGTACACCCTTATATCTCCCCCACTGTAAACTAACTCTTTACCCTCCCCCAAATAAAAATACCTAGAAGCGCACCGCTGCTTTTACCACAAAATTATAAAAATTGTTTGAATTTTAATTAGATATTACAAAAATCAGTAATATTTGTAATTTAATAATAGAACACCTTGATAATTTATGAGATTTTAATGGAGATATTGACACAGTACAGCATGGTTCTTTTTCTCATTAGTAATTGAAGTTTTGAAAGTGAGAACAATAACTTTATTGATATCATTTTTTATAGCAATATTAAATATTGGGTGATAGGCTTGTCTTTATTATGGATGTATCATTTGCAGCACACACAGTTTTTAATTTTTAGTAAAATCAACTTATTTTTTTTAATTAAAAAATACTTGCCTTTTATTAAACTTCAAAGGTTGATGGAGACAGTAAAGAAAACCAGCATGCTATGCAAAACCTGACCTCTGATGGTAAGAAAAGTTAAGTCTAATAGGCTTAAAAGTAGTTGTATGTATATGAACAAAGTCAGTAGAACTTTACCAGTAAAGATAAAAATGAGATAAGAAGGCCTAATTGTAGTTATGTATATCAAAAAGGATTATGAAACTTGACTATTGTAAAGATGTAAACAGGTCTGCTTAATAATTATGAAATAAATTTGTATACTTACCAGTATGATTGACATGTCTTGACCAATCTAACCTATATATATGTGTGTGTCACATTGCGCTTGATTTCTTGAAATAGGAGGAGTCATAAAAGCCAAAATAAATTTATCCATATAGAATAGTTTGATTACTGTCTGCCCATTGTGATTTTAGTGATGGGAATGTAAGGGGGTCCATGAGGAGGAGGCGTGAAACTTATAAGTGTAGTGAGTGTTGGTATAACATGCCTAAAGTAAAGCCATAGCGTGTAGCAACAAAACTTTTCTGGGATGTTATAGAGTGTTTTTAGTGTTATGGGTTGTTATACAGTAGATTTTAACTATCATGGAATTTTATAGAGGATTTTAAACTATCATGGGATGTTATACAGCAGTTTTTAACTATTATGGGATGTTATAGTGTGATTTTTAAAACTATGGGATGTTATACAGAAGTTTTTAACTATTATGGGATGTTATAGTGTGATTTCTAAAACTATTATGGGATGTTATACAGAAGTTTTTAACTATTATGGGATGTTATATAGTGGTTTTAACTATTATAGGATGTTATAGTGTGTTAACTACAATGGGATATTACTATCGCAAATGATGGGGCAAGTAATACCAACCCCAC